AAAAAAAAAAATAAAGAAAGAAAGAAATACCCCCCAAAAATAAAAGAAAATAAGAATGTATTACATAGTTATTTTGGAAACTGCATAGTACAAGAAAACTAAGGAAAGGAGCCCTGTATCCAGGGACCATGAAGTGATGACTTGTTCTGCATAACCTTCAGAGTGTTAAGAATTATATTGAATATGTGCATGCACTTAATATTCACCACAATCCCTATGCTTTATATTCTCCATTTGTTCCATTAGTTGGGCTTTGGAAACATGAGGTTACCCAAAACTCAGTGCCCAAATCCAGAAATGTGTGGGTACCACACAAAAAGTGGCACAGTTAGGAGGATCATTTGAGTTCTTTGAATTTGATGTGAGCTTGGACAACGTAGTGACTGAGATCCTGTCTCTAAAACTAGCAAGAAAATAAAATGGTATAATTGCACAGAACCATGTCCATCCTCTTACATTGTGTCATCATTATAGATTACTTAGAATACACAGTGCAATGTAAATGGTACATAGGTAGTTCTTATACTGTATTGTTTAGAGCATAATTATAAAATTATCAGTATAGGTTTTTTTATTCTGAACATTTTGCATCCTGCTGTTGGTTGAATTGATGCAGAACCCATGAATACAGAGGACTGACTAGCTTTATAACTGAGGGCTTCCATCTTGCATATACTTTATACATTTCCTCACAGAATTAAATAATCTTGCATAGTGTCAAATAGTTGTATTCTGTCAACAGGACATATAATTTAACTGAATCCATACTGTTGAATATTTGGATTATTTCATTATAAATAAATCTAAAATCTTTACAAGACATTTAGGTGTAGGGAGCAATACTCCTCCAGAATGTCAAGCCAAGTCAGCGTGTGTCATCAGCTGTATGGAACGTAATGCACATTGCTCACATTTAAATGAAGACCTATAGTTACACTTAAAATATAAAAATGAGGAAATGAGCTTTAGTTGATTGCTGTGATTTTCTTGAGTTGATGAGACATTACCTATAATGTTAGGGCTTAAACAAGAAGCCAAGAAGAATCAGGCTTTTGGCTGTGACCTTTGGGTAGCTTTGCTTCTGAGCTCTTGTTGGGGTGAGGAGCCAATGCACAGAATGCCAGGGACTCGCCCAGGATGATGCCCCTCCTAAGGCAAAGGGTCTACCTTGGATTCTTTCCCAACATCACATCGTCCTCCTGGGCACACTTTGTTGTCTGCACGGGAACCTAATAGGATTTGTGTGTGTGTGTGTGGGCGCGCGCGCACTAGGGATCAAACTCAGGACCTTGTACTTGCACTTATGCTTCTGAGTTGTCTCTCCGGCCCTTCTAACTGGATATTTACTCAGGAATTGACTGGGCTGTTTCAAGATAACAGGAAGGGGAGATGGTGTTCTAACTTACTATAAGCTGCCTCCCTCTTGACAAGTTGGTTCATCAACCAGAATTTGCCATCAATAGTGGAGCCATGTTTCAAAACAAATAATTTTTAAGTTTGTATGCTTTTTTTTTTTTCTCCACCACACACCAGAAACATGGGTTATGCCCCAGTAAGTTGCTGTGGCTCACACAGAGACTACTGGAAGGCCACGTTCCCTAGTGGAGGGTAGAATGGTGACAGACACCTACACATGCTCTCAGGCAGACAGATGAACAAGGAGGAGGAATATAATTTGTTGAAAGTACAGTATTTCCCACAATTGGAAGTCACTGCTCTAGCACCTTTTATTGTTGGAATTACTTGTGA